TTAGCCCAACTGTAGACTGATGCACGTGTTTGAGATAAGCCAGTCTAGCTAAGGTGCTACTATATTATATGTATTAAATGCACTTTCTAAATATCTAGGTATTTCTATACCATTAATAATCTGGGTAGAATCCCTTCTCTTGTAGATTCCCTTGATCTTTCTGCAAGTCCTTCATCTTTGTTGGAGAAAAAAAACTGTGGAAAGACCTTTTAGCTATAATTGGGATGCCTGGGTTCCTCTGCCAACTACCACTAGTTTAAGGGGACGTTGATTAATCTCCCTGCGTATAAACTTACCCTTCTGTACATGGAAAGGTTGAGCAAAAGAGCAGTCTCTAAGAATTTCTCATATGGACACTTTTTCAGCAAGTCCTACACAGAGACACATACAGACATGCACATACACAGAGACACATACACAGACACACATACAAACATGCACACATGCACAAACACACACATACAAACACAAACAACATACAGATACACACACATAGACACACAGACACATGCATACAGACAACATACAGATACACACACACATGCAGATATAGACACACACATATACATAGACACATGCATACATGTAGACACACACAGACACATAAAAACACAGACACACAGAGACATACATACATACACACAGAGACACACAGACAGAGAAACACATATAGTTTATTCTGATCACAGTAGCCAGAAAATCTTGGTAAAACTAAGTCAGGCCTGCTATCCTGGCTCAAAGCCCTCCAATGGCTTCCTACCTCACTCAAAATTAACCCAGTTTTTCCAGTATTTTGGAGAATGTGCTAGCGATCTCTGCACCCCCATGTCTGGAAATGGCCTGCCCCCAAGGTCTCTCTAATTTCTCCTCTCTGGCCAAGCACAGAGTTGGCTAAAGGCTGTTTCTTGCACAATTTAATCTCTCTCTCTCTTTCTCTCTCTCTCTCTCTCTCTCTCTCTCTCTCTCACACACACACACACACACACACACACTTTTCTCACTACCTGAAAACCTCTCCTCCCCCACCATGCTGTTCAAAGTCTGACCCTCATTCATGCTCTCTACCCCTTAACCTGCTTTCTTCTTCTTTTTAAATTTTGATTGTATCGTTATTTATTTTGTATCTGTGTGCAGACCCACGTGGGTGCCCATGTGAGTCCCAGGGATTCAACTTGGGCTTGGTGACAAACACCCTTAACTGCTGAGCCATCTGGTCAACCCTGCTTTCTCTTTAAATCCTCACAACTGACTACCTAACACATCATCCATCTCCTTCCCTTGGAAGGTGCACTGCAGGGGAATGGGGGTCTCTGCCTGTTTTCTTCCCTGTTATATCCCCAGTGCTTAGAATTCCTTTTGTGTCTGGCACATACTAAATGCTCAGTAAATATTTTTTGAATGAATGAGACAATAAACCTTTTCTCAGAATAAAATAAGTCTTATTGGCTGTCAAAATTTAACCATGCTTAGTAAGATTCAACTCTAGCAACTGGTGCCCATAAGCTACAAGTCAAATACCACAACTGCACTTTAAGGAGGGCTCTGTAGCATACCTACCAGTAGAAACGGGTCAGTCACTGAAACGAATCCACTCTAGCCTATGACGATATGCGTTTCTTAGCATAGAAAGTTGCAGCAAGATCAGTCCTGACCACTACTTCTTCTGTGCAGCTTCCTGAGGGAGAGAATGTGAACCTCTCTGCCCTCATCTGACTTAAACCTGGAGTAGACATGTATCCAGAGTTAGCATAAGGGTAGAAATCCCCCCCATTATCTTCATGAGTGAACTACAGGAGAACTGTAAGACCCAAATGCATTGTTTATGGACATAGGAAATATGTGAGATTTAAAAATGTAAAGTCAAGCCTGGAGAGATGGTTCCATGGCTAAGAGCACTTGCTGGTCTTCCAGAGGACCCAAGTTCAGTTCCCAGCTCCCATAGAAGGCATCTCACAACTGCTTATATCTCCAGATCCAGAGGTTCCTAGGCCCACTTCTGTCCTCTGAGGACACTAAACCCACTTTCACATACTCACCCACAGACACACATATACATATTTTTGAAAGTATAAAGTAACAACTCTCAGGTACTTTTTCCCACTAGTCATTGAAGCAACTACCTGTTACAGGGGTTCAGGCTGCTGTCCATCCCAATGCTCAGATCATGCACATTCTCAGATCATGTGTGTGGATTAAATGAACCTATTGGCATCATGGCAAGTCTAATCCTGTTAGAACATGAGAGCCCCTTTTCCAGGTCAACGTTGCTCTCATTTCTTGCACAGGCCACTGGCTTGAGGTTCTTCATACTTGCCAACAACAATGTGCACACACACACACACACACACACACACACACACACACACACACACATACACACACACATACACACACACA